CTTCCTCACCGCGGCGCGACCGGCCAAAGTTGGAGAACATCTCTTGCCCGGGCTTTTTGTTTCAACTTTGATGCTCCTAATGTTTTCATGATGCATAAAGAGGTTTCCTAGAAATGCGGAATTTATTATCTGTTGTCCCGGGCGGCGTCGTGCTGGACGCGCCTGGCAATAATTATTTTTATTTTTCATTTTGTTTCGACCATCCTTGGAGGTAACGCCTCATTTGAATCAAGCGAGATAATTGTAACAAAATGTATTCATCTGATTCACTTGAAATTTTTTTTGTTTTCAATCATTCGGAATCGTTTTCTTTTGTGAGTGTTTTCCTTTATTTTTCATGAGGCCCGGGCGTGTTGTTGTCGCAAGCCGAACGCCGTGGACCTTTATCCGCTCGCGTGTTTCCCAAAGGGAAATAAGCCTCAAAGGGAAACTGTAGCCGGGCCTCTCGTCTGCCTTTGTCCCCCGGGCAGCGGCAGCGGCAGCGGCTCTGATCCCGACCTGACGTGGGACGAGAACGCGCCGTGGGGCCAGGACGAGGCCGAGGAGGTGGTGGTGGTGGAGGACACCGGGCGGCGGGCCAGCAGGGGACCGGCAGCACGTCCCCGGGGAGCACCCCGGGCGCCAGGTCAGCGGCAAGCACGTGCACGGTGACGTCCTGCGAGCCGGCGCGGTGACTTTCGTAGTTGTGACTCTTCTCTTCTGTCCACGGCCGGGCCCAGGTCGGCGGCGACGTGGCCGGCGGCGGCGGCGTAGGGGGCTGCTCGCGTGCAGTTCGCCGAGGGCGTCGTCATCCTCGTCGTCGAGCTCGCTCGATTCTTCCGACGACTTTGCCTACCAGGTTGCAATCGCGTTATACGTAGCAGTTGGCTCTGAAATGTTTCAATTTGTTGTTAAATCTGAAATATATCCTTTGTCTTTCAGCGGGTCAAGGGCCCCGTCGTCGAGGTGCTCCAACCTCGCTGGCCCCCGTTCCTGGACGTGGAGGCCCAGCGGCAGTGGGACCCCGCCACCCTGGACCAGCTCCTGGCCGACGACTGGGACTCAGACTGAAGCCGAGCGTGTGCCTGCGTTGTGTGTCATGTGTGTGCACGCGCGCGCGCGCGCGCGTGTGTGTGTGTGTGTGTGTGTGTGTGTGTGTGTGTGTGTGTGTGTGTGTTTGTGACCTTGTGACCGTGTCACTGTGGTTGTCTCTCTTGTACCATGTATGTAATTCTAAGGACGGGCACGCGCGGGACGCGTGTGACTAAAAATAAATTTCAATTTCTTTCCCATCACCCCCATGAAATTACTGTGTCCCAATCTCGTTGCGCCTGCGCGCGGTCCCCGAAGCACAGCAGGAGGAGGGTCTGGGTCTCGGCGGTCTCGGCCGTCGAGAGAGACCCTCTCAGAGTGATGGTGCGCCCTGAGTGATCGCGAGGGTGGATATGGCTAACGGCGAGGGCCAGGCCCACTACTGCTACACTACACCCCTCCCGTGGCCTCGCGCGGTCCGTCCGGGGCACGTCCGGGGCCGCGGCAGGTCCTCCTCGCTGCTAGGCCCCCCCGAGGGGGTTAGGGCCGCCGGGGCCGGGACAGCCAGGCGCCCAGCGCTAGGCCGGGAGATTTAAGGCCTGCTTTTAAGAGCGCATTAAGTGCAGACGGCCTGGCGGCCGGGGCTTGGCCGCCTGAGGTACGGGAGCCCCCTACCCGGGCTGCCCGGGCTGAAGCCGGCGCGGCTCGGCTCGGCGGCGCGACGGGTCGCGGCTTCTGCTTTTCATAGCCTCTCACCTAAAAAAAAAAAGAAGAAAGGCGAATGGCGTGGCGTTATGAATTTATGGCACTGATTTGAACGGGAAATGCGCTGAGCGGCGCGCTGCTGCGGGGCGTGAAAGGGGGGAGGGGGCGAAATAATCACGCCGTAAATTTATTAGATTTTGACTGCATGAAAGGGATGAGAACGCCAGCAAACCAGCAGAGCGCGCGGCGTGGCGTGGCGGGGCGGGGGGGTACAATGAGGACTCTCCGCTCCATAGCCTCGCTACGCCAAGCCACCACGCCACGCCGCGCCACCCCTTGCCAACCGCTAAAGTGACAACGTTGCAATTTTAGCGATGAGGAATGTCCGGGTTGTGGGGCCTCTCGCCTCCCTTCGCTTCGCTTCTGCCCCGTCGGGGTCCCCGCCCGCTCCGGATCCGACTGGGGCTGGAGGGAGTGAGAGGGAGAGAGAGAGAGAGAAGGAGAGTTCCATATCAGAGCGTATTCCTCGCGCCGTGCGGAGATCCGCTCCGCCGGATCCGCTGGTGCAGACGTTCCTCTCGTAAAAGACGGGACGGGACTCGCCGGGGTGGACCCTGGCTTGGGCGCTAACACACACACACGCCCACATACACACACACGCGCACTCACACACCTCTCTGCTGTCTGGTGCAGCGGGCCGAGCGCGCGTCTAGCCGTGTCTAGTCTGGTGCGCGTCCCGGACGCAGCAGCAGTACACAGTAAACCCAAGCACCCGTTTTATGCGACGCCCACACTTACGTTCGCGTCCTCGCCGTTTGTGCTGGTGTGTGTTTACCTGGTCGTGCAGTGGAGCAACTGCCCCGTTTGAGGTTACTGCCGGCCGGTCGCTGAGAAAAGGGACACGCGTTATTCGGGGTGCGCCGCGTGTCGCTCTTGTGCAAAAGAGCAGATGCTCCTCCGAAAAGCGTTCCGCAACGTCGAAAATATTTGCTGTAGTCAGGTTGTGGCAATATCCAA